TGCTGGGTCGCGTTGGCGGTGATGGTGCGATTCTACGGTGGTGGGGCTCCTCCCGCCGTTGCGTTAAGCCTTGAGGATCATCGTCGTGGGGCTACGTCCTCATCTCCGCTCTTCGATCCAAATCCTTGTACATATGGGGTTCCGTTCGTCATGGTTTCTAATTTTCCTACCATTGTATCCTTTCTCCAAGGATTAATCAAGAAACTTATCTAGAAAAAAATTAATTGATACATCGTGTGAGAGATTCAACATAACATAAAATTCAAGAAACCAAATGCAAGAGGCTTCTTCGAGTATTTGAATTAGCTCTCAATGAAAGCACCAATTTGTTGATGCAAATTTCCACCATCGCTAGCTTTGATGAAAATGAACCTGCAAAACAATTAACACATTTGATCAAGGATCTAAGCCATACGCACCTACGTGGTAGGGGGTGGTTAGGCCAATGGATCTTTGATGTTTAGGTTAGTTTCTCTGAGAAGAGTAAAGTGTTTAGGGCTTTTTTAGGGGTGTAAAAACTTATTGAAATTTGGTAGAATTGGGGGTATATATAGGGGAGTGGTCAGCCATAGTGTTAGTGTTTTACCGTACACATGGAGGCATCCTATTGGCCAAGGTTTTATAGAGAAATATTCTTAAGATATTAAATAGGAAATAATATCTTGAGATAATGGAGTCATTATCCTTAATTGATTTAAATAAAGATTACTTACTTAAATGGAGTTAATCTTTAATTGGGAATGTATTAAAGATAGGATTTGGGTAATTAATCCTTATCTTTAATGCTTTGACTTTTCTTTGCCAAGGGCAAGTGAGCTGTGGGCAGCCGTATTCAGCTGCAGGGACCTTCAGGGGTGTGAGCTGTGCATGGAATGAAGAGCCTGCCCATTTAATGAGGGCAATCTTGTTTTTCTTGAGCAAAAGTCCACGTGTCGCCTTTAGAATTTTTGGGTTTAATAGGTTCCACACTTTTTACATTGCACGTGGATTGGTGGGTCTCTATGTAAAACTATTCTAGAGCCTTCCAAGTATTTGGAGCTGGTTTGGAATTGCTTTTATGAAAATCACTTGTGTTCATAAGTATTTCTTGTGAAAATGCTTTCATTGCCACTTAGTATCACGGTCTAGTGGTATTCCTCTTCACTTGTAAATGAACAGTCTTAAGTTTGATTCTCGCCAAAGACGAATATGAACCACATTACAGCTAGCTTGTTGTGAGGCTAAGTCCACCCCTCCCTCTTAATAGATAATATCGTTTGTTAAAAAAAAAAATCACTTCAATTAGAAGCACCATGAAACCTTTAATAAAATTACAATGTTCATTGAAAAAACACTTAAATACTTCTTGAAATAACTATACATCATGTGCTTCCAAAAGGCAATCACTTTTAATTTTTCTGCCATACATGGTCATCTTTTGATATGTATTTTTAGTCATTTTAAAAAAAATTCCAAACACGTCCATGATCTTTCCTTAAAAAAAAAAAAAAAAAAATAAAAATCATACATTCTTATCAATCACAACCCACATATATAAAGCAAATAACCCATAAAACAAAAAAACAACATATTTGTACTGACTAGGGATGGGTGACATATGATTTGTCACTTTTACAAAATTAGATGTGTGGCTACAAAAATGTTTCTGTGACCATCCCAATGCTCTTAAAAGAATCACAACTGCCACTGTTGTGGTTGTAATTGTTTCGTTTAAGGGGTGTGCTATTTACACATTTATTTTTATTTCTCACACACTTCTTGTTAATTTATATCCTTTGATATTTTTTAATTCAATCGATTTGACGGCCGCAAATTAAGAGAATGTGTATGACGCAAAAAAAAAAGTGTGGATAGCACACCCATCATTTAATTGGTTCCTTCTTGAGGTGGGGGCTGGGGATGGGATTGGTAGGAAGCAATGGAATCAAACATTATTTTAATATTATTATCAAGAGATTCCTATCCAAGTGTGTTTTAAAATGCTGATAATGTAATCATTCTTAGGTATCTAATTTGTTTGTAGCAAATAAGGCATTATTATGATCATATTCATGCAGAGGCGGGTCATGAATTACCTTAGCTGTTAAGATCTTCTTCTTTAACCTATTGCATTTTTTATTTAAACTCTTGTCCCTCTCTTTAGTTTAGTTTAGAATATATAATAATATCGCTTATGATTAATACATTCACGCACGAGGAAAATGGTCTATGTTGTGGTAAGAATGATTGAATTTTTTCCGAGTGTAAGTAACATGTGTTTTATAGCATTTGTAAATTGTTAAAACCACGTGATGGTGGTACAATTATACTCACCGTTTCTCAAAATTAATGAGTCCTCTTCATGGCACTAAGGCGTAGTGGGAGTCCAACTTGGCACTTCTCTGTTGAGTGACTTCAAAACTCCCTTGAGATGACATGTAGCATCTCAAAGTACTGATATTATATCAATGATATGATGTCATGTGCTTGAAACATTGTATCATTAGTTTTGACGATAAGATAGTACTACAGAGGTGCAAATAATGTAATGTCATATGAAAAATACCTACAAAACATTATATTATTAGATAAGATGATGAATCCGTTCCATACAAATTGCTGATAATTATTTTTCACTCTTTTACGTAGATAAATCTACACATATATAGCGAACAGTCGAGTCTCAGAGATTCTGTCAGATGAAATCAAACCCAAACCTCCACATATCTTGACCTTTGTTCTCAGCTGGTCGAATTGATTCCTGAACAACAGGAACGTCCAAAGAAACTAAAGGCAGAAAAGTTCAACCGGGCAATATCACTGTTGATGATAGGGTTGTTGTGGTACAGAATGAATTCCAGAAGGCATATGAAAAAGGGATCGGTTCATTTGCAGCTGCTTTAAACGGCTTGCTAGTGCACTTTCAGGTCGGTATCTTTCATTTTCGTTTGACTGAGGCAAGATAGGTGTATCGGGAATTAATGGGGTTAATGGAAATTTTAATTTGGGGTTTAATTCTTAACAGACTTCACTAGAAAAGTTTAAATCTGAATTTTTTTACCGCATGGGCTAATATTCTATCACCATGTATCCAAAGTAGCAGTGGTTTGATTCTTTGATCTCTTCATCATTCTACATTTTGTTTGTTACTTGTATTTGTTTTCTACTTTTCTACCTGCATGTTTTGCACGTCGTATGTCGTGTTTGAAGGGGATTACGAATGGGATGAATTTATTCTATTTATCTGTCCAATATTTATGCCTTGCTCATTTATTCATTATAGGAGAAAACAGCCCCAAAAGTGTCACTTCCCCACGTAATATATAGTTTGCTAAGAATATATATACTTTAAAGAACACAGGAATCAAACTGCGCCTTTGAACCATAAAATTTGAAGTTGAGAAAGTTATGGAATTAGTTGCGCGAATTTGATTCCAATAACTAATTACGTACTGATTTCTAAGCGGAATTTGTACACTGATAAAGATCTTATTTATAGGTATACAGATACGGAGTTGCCCTACAAGTTCATCTATATTTACAAAACTGGCACCCAAAGTATCCGTTGGAATACTCATCATGATCAGTCATGATTCATCATCATTACTTCCAAGACACCACGATCGGTGGACGGAGCTCGGCTGCGCTGCAATTTTTGGTCCCAGTGGGAGACTGAGAGTGCTCGTTTTCTTAGATATGTCAACCTGCTCATTACTATCCCCGAACAGCATGGACCCGTCTCGACCCGTTTGCCTACCCCTAATTTTAACTGGCACTCTAACTTTTCGTGCTTCTTCTGAATCAGATAAAGGTAGCAGGGTACAGATCCCAAGCATATGTCCATTGAGGCAAACAAAATACTCGATGCAATCGTCAAAAGCTCCCAATCTGCAGCTGGCGCTCTTTGGTATCATTTTGGCTTGCAACATGCTCCATAATTTAGCCTTGCAGTAAGGGCACACATCTATCGGATGAAGTTGGGCCCTTTTCTTAATCAACATCTCCCGAACCTTGGACATCGAGAAGGACATGAAAACTCAGCGAAAAAAACCCACATCTCCCTCTTCACCTTGGCCAAGATGTTCACGAGGGTCAGAGACATACAAAACATCTCTTCTGCATTGCGGTAAAAGAAAGCTCTTCCCCGATGTCTTAGAAAACCTGGTCCTATAAACAAAGTGACCCGGGATTTGAATGCTGTTAAAGAGGCCACCCTTCAAAGATCCTGCACAGTAAATAAGCAGCTTCCCGAGTACCCTCCAGTTCCCATCTACACAGTGACTCCCACTAGATTGAAGGTCAAACATCATATTTGGTGCTCTTGTTCGGAAAAATTCCTTCCACAGCACACGCTTGGCGAGATCATCAATCCATTTGATCAACTTAGGATTCCAATTCAACTGTCGGAATACAAGGAATATCACATCTGCATTAAAATGCCCTTTCGTGCATTGACAACTTGCTGAGTGTATGCAACGATTCTTCAGTTTTCTCGTGATCTTGTCACGATTCTTTAGTTCTCTCGTGCTCTCGTCACGATTCTTCAGTGTTCTCGTGATCTCGTCTATAACTTTCCTGATAAACACTCCTTCATACCTGGCAGTTCAAACCCAAAATTAAGCTCAAGTAAAATTCATTTTCAACTCTTTCAACATTTGGTAAATTAAGGCTTAAGAAACAAAAACAAAAAAAATTGTAGAGGAAAAGTATTACCCGTCAGTCTTTGTAAAAACCTCACCCTCTAAATATGCAGCTTCAGTAAGAGCGTTTCTCCACGGCCCTAGTTTTTCTTCCTTATCTTCTACTCGACCGAAGCAGTCTTCGTGTTTCTTAAACACTTCTGCGAAAATACCGGACTGATTCTTCACATCTGAAGGATCAACTTCGTAGAATATTGGCAAAACCACTTGCCCTAGTCTTCTTTTACACTCCATGATCTCCACCAACTCCTCAAGACATGGAATCCGCATACCTCCTTGAGAAGATGTTCACGGCCATCTTAGACCCTTGGATTACTAGCTTCACTTGCTCTGATACTTTTTCTTCCCCTCCTCTCGGTGACTCCTCCTCTTCGATAAATGCATCGATTCCGGCGTCTTTCAATGTCCAATACAGGTGGTCCGTGAAGGTTTTGCGTGTGTCTTCAACGCTGAAGCTTAAGAATACGTCGTAAATCTCATCTTCTATTGAGGAGGAGGAGGAGGAGGAGGTGGCGGTGGCGATGGCCGAGGAGGAAGGCAGGGGAGGTCCGGCGGACGTAATGGTACTGGTATCCGTTAATTGTTGTTGCACCTGTACGATCCTTTTGCTACCACTCGGCCTCTGGAGCTGGTGCTCAGCGGGGGCGTGGAAGTTGGTCTTGGCGTTGGCTCCGCAGAACTCATGCGCCGCAGTGTCGTGCGCACGCGCTGCCTCTTCAGCGCTGTCAAAGGTCCCGAGCCAGATGTGGGTCTTTTTCCCGGGATCTTTGATCTCGGCGGCGTAGCGTCCCCAACGCCTCTTCCGAACACCTATGTACTGGATCTCATTCGAACCCGGGTTTGGGTCTTCGGAACCGGATTTGGGTGGTGGGGACTTTAACGTCGGAACCATGGTTTTTGTTAATTGGAGCAAAGATGTGAGCTTTGAGGTACATAGAGAGAGACGAATAAATAGAAGCTGATTCCCCAATCTACAGAGAGAATTTGGGGAAATTTGGAAATATAGCCCTTTTGAGAAACATCCCTATCTATATCATAATATTAAGAATTGGCATATTATTGTGTATTAGAATGAGACGCTATACTGCGATGAAACCATTTGATATAAATCTTATTTTCTTTAATAAAGAAAACCTCTCCTCCAAACACCATGTGATTATTTATAAAATTATTTAATTATAGTCTGAATCTTTTAAATTATTATTCACTTTCTTTTATTTGGAAAGATAAAAAGCACAGAAAATAATAATAAAATTTTTATTAGATACCAAAAATTGTTAACTTCTTTGAATTTATGATAATCAAATAAACAGGATTGTGTGGCGACTAGGTTGCCGTGATTAGAGCACTTTCCAATGTAGGAAGGCCCTTTGGGCAATAGGTGACTTAATCCTTTTAAATGAGTAGTAAGTGATAGACCAGGCCATTAATATTAAAATATTAGTATTTTTTATTTTATAAAATAATAAAAGATAACTTTATTTTTAATTTAGGATAATAATAAAAGATTAGTTGAAAGTATTCGAAAATATTGAAATGTAGTGTAAAATGGAAGAACATGATTATGTATTTATAGAATATATATATATATATATATAAATTTTTTATATTTTTAATTTGTTTTTTTTATAATTTTTAATATTTTGTATAATTTTTTAACTAGCATTTGCCTGCACACTTTATGTGTATGAATACATTTTTTTTTTAGAAAATGAGAAGGAGAGAGGGAGGAAGAGAGAGAGAGAGAGAGAGAGAGAGAGGCGGGTGGGGGGTTTTTGTTTTTGGTTTTTTTTTTATTTTATTTTTAATTTTATTTTTTAATTTTTAATATTAGAGATATTTTAATATCACCTATAGGTGAGACTTCACTAAAAAACAGTAAAATTTGGAATTATGAAATTACATTATTGCCCATCATTTTTTTTGTGTGATAGAAGACTAAATTGTCTAATTGTCTTTTCACCATCTTTTGGTTGACAAAGAGGATTTCATTAATTAATAGAGATAATTTAAATTGTGGCTGATGTTAGCCTTACATGTCACATCCTGATTTTTTTTTTCCTTCTTTGTTTCAAGATGTGGCGTAAAACTAAATAAATAAATAAATAAACTACAGCTCAAGTAAAACTAGATGAGAAAAATCTGGAAAGAAACTTTTATTCAAACAAATGTAATTTACACGATACTATTACAAGAAAAGTAAAGGAAAAGAAACAACACATTCTCAACCATTTTTTGTTACAAGACCAAGTCTAAATATCTACAAGAAGACCTCGACGTTTCTAGATCACAGACTAAACTTCCGATTTGAACCCTACAACAAATTTATAAAGAGTGAACCCTAAAAGCTCAGTAGAGGTCCTATGTCTAATACTTTTTATTATTAAATAAGAGATAAACTAACTCAAGATCGAAAAATATATACAAATGAATGAGATAAAGCAAGCCTGCACAATGGAGCAAGTAGGTCTGCATGTCCCATACCATGCATTCTACCATAGTGACTCCAAATGAATGAGATAAAGCAGGCCTGCACAATAGAGCAAGCAACCCAAAAATACCACTTTTGTTGGTCGTCTTGTTCATCTCAAGGTCGCCAAATTCCCCACTACTTCAAATAATTCCTATAAATTCCAATTTCCTCCCTGACTGGTCCCTACGAAAGTTGAACTCAACTACACAAGATATTTCCATTCCATAACCCAAGCCTTGAATATAACCACAAACTCCTTCACTCCAATATGTAATGAAATGCCATATATATATATATTCATAATGGAAACATCATATGCCAACACCAAGAGTTAAATAATTAACTACATAAACATCACAATGATATCCATCAAGGGTACCAGATTTAGTATTCAATAATATTGTATAAGCAAATTACTCAATCAATAATATATAGAAACATAAGTATAAAAACTTATCGATATAAGTAAATAATTAAACTTATATCGTTCTACTCAATTATTAATCTCTAAATCCCCTACCTCGACTCCAGTCAAGCTAAAATCTCTTAACTTTCCCAAGCTCTGAGGCACCGTCGAGTATAATACCGAACGTCAGAGTAAAAGAACATGACAAACAAACCAAACATTTAGAATATTGTAAGGTAAATTACATTGTATCTCTTCAAATTTAGGTGCAATTGTAACCTCATACAATATCTTTAAAACATTTTAATTTCATACTTTAATTATCATTTTATTGCAATTTCATACATCCGTTAATCAAATTGTCAATTTGACCATTAAGTGATGACGTGGCAAATATAAGGCCAACATGTTTTGATAACGTGGAAAATAAAAATAATTAAAATTTAAAAAATCAATTTAAAAATAAAACAAAATTAAAAATTACAAGGGCCCACCACCTTCTTCACGAAGAGAGATGGCAATGGCATCCACCCACTTTGCCATGCTTTTGTAAAATGACCTACTCCATAGATAGGGTTTGAATCTTGCTCTTTGAAATTGCGTAGAGGTTCGAAACAGTTTCTCTCTCTCTCTCTGTGCTTGAGAATAGCATGTAAGAATCCTATATGGACTCAACTAATTAGGATAAAGGAGAAGTAATAGGTTGGTAATAAAAATCAAATAGAATTTGAATACGTGTAAAGTTACATCCTATAATTGAGGAATACACTTCCAATGTGCATTTGAAAATAAGCACTAATCACAATTGCTTTATACACGGTTGGGATTGGGTGCAACAGGTGAACAACGAACCCTCCACAATAGATGGAAGTTGGCTACCATTGCATCTATATATAATGAATTCCCTGCTCACAAAGAAATGGAAGAGAAATGGTTCTACGTTCAGGGGTTTATCACCATTAGAATATAAAGGTCTTTAAGTGAGTAGAAGAGTTCTTTTACAACCACCATGTCTTCAACAGGTAAGTCTTCTACTCATATGTATTAATATGTGATTTAGGGTTCATGTTGAGTTTAATATTAGTTCCAACATTTGGTATTAGAGCCAACTTAATAAGCCTAGATCCATTGTATAGTTATACTACATGCTTCTGATAGATAAACCTCTTGCCCTCCACATTCGTGTTCAACCACTTTCATATCTGAGATGGATCGATCAATAGTAACATCAAAAGAATATGATTTACCATAACCATTAACAAGATATATAGAATCTGTCTTCAAATTGAACAACATTTGGTCCCGTGGATGACAAGGTTCTCAAAACCCAAATAAATTTGGGAAGACATCAATGAATTTGTGGGTCTTCATAAGGATTTTTAATCATTATCAATGGGTATCGAATTGTATCACTAATAAATCCAGATCATTGGGGTTGTAGTGACAACGGAAAGGGTGTGTATATCCTTTGCAGTCAAACGCTATGACTTGCAAACAAGGATAAATTATTTTGGCGACTCCAATCTCTCCACAACTAAATTTTAATGCTTTCTTGTCATTTAATTTGATTGGCATGTAAATTTTGATGGAATCAACCTATCACTATTTTGGTTTAATCTGATCCAAAACCCCTTAGTTTTCTTGTCATGAAGTTATCAATTGTTCAAAAATTGTGTGTGTGCGAGTAATTTAAAGGAAAATAGAAATACTTGGTATCGGTTTGCAGTGCTTGTAATTAATTCATCTATGGGAGTAAGAACCATCCATGTTATTTCTATATGTGATCGGTGTCCGACAAAACCCTTACAAAGTAGTTAGGTTGCCTTCGGTTTTGGATGTAATTCCTCGAAAGAATCAGAAAGTATGCTTAATTTCTTTTTACCTGTTTTGTTGATCTTACTGTGAAATAAAGCATTACGTTTGATAAGCAATGGGTTTTCACTTTTCACGTGTGTCTTCAATTATCGGTTGCCCAATGCCTAGTACTTAATCAAGTATTGTAATGAGTCACTGATATGACCTTATTTTGTTAAAGTTGTGGAATATTGCTATCTCAATCAATCCAAGCTTGTTAATTATGTTATAAGGTACACAATCCAACTTAAAAGAACCACACATGTGGTTTAATAAACAAAAGATAGGCTGAATACCTTGCAAAACACATGGAGGAACTTTGCCCTTTGATATGCCACTGATCCTTAAATCAAATCTGGTGAAGAAACATTGTATGTCCCATAGTATTGTTTGATATTTTCCAGTGATTGGATTTGAGTAATTTTGACCTTAAATTTTGGTGATTTTGATTTACCTCGTATTTGATTTCCTGCTTTTGTTGTTACAAAATAATGTTTATCATTTAGTTTGAGTCCAAGTGATAGAAGTCTTGGCAATCATCTTTCTCAAAAGCAAAGCTACTGCGAGCGATATTTTCTTTTACAGCTGTATAAGAGTCTACCTTAACACCATAGTTAGGGGTCCCTAGCAAATTCATAACTTCCTCTAGGCTTGTAGACTTTGAATACATTAATGAGTGGTGGTGTCACAACAGAGGGAATCATTGTAAGATGTCGATGATCCTTGTTTCATTCATGTGATTATAATTGTTCACATTAATGCTTTTCTTGATCAGTCTTATTCAGGAATGATGCCAATGGAAAATAACTAAAGCTGTAACATCTGAAACAAATAATCATGTTACTTTAACCATTGGACAAATGTTTATTAAATCTTCACCGAAGTGAGATTTTATGGAAATTTTTCTTTGGGTGTTGTTCTCTATTTGGTAGCATATAGGATGGCAGAAGAGGTTACATTGCATGCTTGTGCCCAAACCACTCAGGAAGAGAGGAAGCTAATTAGTGCTCTTGGCCATCAAAAATGGTATCTTCAATTTTCTTCTTCGTCAACATGTTTACACATCTATAAGCATATGAACAAGCATATATATATATATATGTATGTATGTATGAACGGATCATGTAGTCAAATGGGTTCTCTTCAATTTTACTTATTT